TTCTCTACAGTACATTAGTAAATAATTTTGCATAATCTTTTCCACAGCATCACAGATGCATCACATCTTTTCTTTAAAAATCTGATTAGGGACTCCTTGGCAGCCCAATGGTTAATACTCTGTGCTTCTACATATAGATGGCTAATAAACACATGAAAAAAATGCACAACATCACTTATTATTAGAGACATGCAAATCTAAACTACAATGAGGTATCACCTCACACCAGTCAGAAAGGCCACCATTAAAAATTTTACAAACAATAGATGTTGGAAAGGGTATGGAGAAAAGGGAACCCCCTTGCACTGTTGGTGTGAATGTAAATCCATACAGCCACTACGGTGAACAGCATGGTGATGTTAAAAAACTAGGAATAAAACTACCATATAACCCAGCAATCCTACTACTAGGCATATACCCTGAGAAATCCATAATTCTAAAGGACACATGTAACCCAATGTTCACTGCAGCACAATTTACAATAGCCAGGACACGGAAGCAACCTAGATGTCTGTTGACAGATGAATGGATGAAGTTGTGGTACACATACGGAACATTACTCAACCATAGAAAGGAATGAATCTGAGTCAGTTCTAGTGAGGTAGATGGACCTAGAGCCTGTTATACACAGTGAAGTAAGTCAGAAAAACAAATACATTAATGCATATACATGGAAGCTAGAAAAATGGTACTGATGAACATATTTGCAGGGCAGGAACAGAGACTCTAACACAGATTTATGGACACAGCGGGGGAAGAAGAGGGTGGGACAAATTCTGAGAGCAACACTGAAACATATACATTCCCAGATGTAAAACAGCTAATGGGAAGTTTCTGTACAACACAGGGAGCTCAGTCGGGTGCTCTGTGACAACCTGAAGGGATAGGGTGGGAGGGAGGGAGGTTTGAGAGAGAGGGGACGTGTTTACACCTATGGCTGATTCATGGTGATGTATGGCAGAAACCAACACCACACTGTAAAGCAACTATCCTCCAAATGAAAAAAAAAGATTCTGCACTTCCACCGCAAGGGGCATGGATTCCACCCCTGGTCGGGCTACTAAGATCCCAAATACAGGGTGTCGAGGCCAAAGAGAAAAAGGATAAAAACCTGACGAGGCTTCAACAGAAAATAAAGCTATCAACTTCTCAGATTCTAAATTTAAGAAGACACACAATTTTAACAAATTACACAGATGAGTTTTTCCTTTTATGATGGGGAGAGAAAGGTAAGAGACAGGAAAAAAAGTAAAAGAAGAGGGGGAAAAAGAAAAGAATAAGAACAAAACAATAAAAAAAGTAGGGAGAATGGAGAAAAATTGAGGGAGACAAAGAGGTTCCAAATTAGTTGTTATGAATACCTTGTACTATACTAATATAAGAACTGTGAGGAAATTATTTCTCTTCACAAATTACTGGAAATTATCTCATCTTATTTTATATGAAATGATCTACATTTATAAAACAGAAGTCTAAAGAAGTAAATGTAATAATTGACCAATACAAATATTCTGGGGCCACAGAGAGTCTGACTGAAGAAATGACTAGAAGAAGTGAGGAACTGGTGATTATAAAAATTAAGAAGAAGTGGAGAACAGACATCCAACATTACTTATCCTGAGGGAAATCAACTAGAGCAGGATAGAGAGCAGGGAATAGCTCTGGGAAGAGTGATAAACAGATGTTACAGGCCGACTGCAGAGGTAAGACTGGGAGAAAAAAGAAAATGATGAAAGAAACTGAGAATGAAAACCCAGACATAAATGAGCTAGAAGCAAAAATGGAGCAAGAAGGTAATATAGAGAGAAAACACACACTGTGTTAAGACCTGCTATTTCACATAACAAAAGTGTGACCCTGATACACTGGACCCATGAGAGCTGGACCATAAAAAAGGCTGAGCACTGAAGATCTGATGCTTTCAAATTGTGGTGCTGCAGAAGACTCTTGAGAGTCCCTTGCACAGCAGGGAGATCAAACCGGTCAATCCTAAAGGAAATTAACCCTGAATATTCATTGGAAGGACTGATGCTAAAGCTAAAGCTCTAATACTTTGGTCACCTGATGTAAACAGTCCACTCATTGGAAAAGACTCTGATGCTGGGCAAGACTGAAGGCAACAGGAGAAGGGGATGACAGAGGATGAGATGTTTAGATAGCATCACTGACTCAGTGGACATGAATCTGAGCAAACTCTGGGAGACAGCAGATGACAGAGAAGAGCGGCATGCTTCAGCCCATGGGGTGGCAAAGAGTCAGACACGACTTAGCGACCAAACGAAAACAACAAATTCAAATCCATACCCAAAGATTTCCTTATCATTATGGCATATATGATATACAGAATGAAAAGTTAAAAGTGGCTGAGCACATACTGCATGAAACCCTCCAGAGAGGAAGAGCATAAAAACAAGACTGCAGCCCCAACAAAAGTGGCACCCAACACTGGGACTGGATAAGCATGATGAACCACAAGCTAGGAACAAAGAGAGTTTTCTTAATATTTGGAGGTTCCTCAGATCCATCTTACATAGGAGAAACTGTTTTGGAATTCTCTGTTTTAAAAACAAAACAAAACAAAACTCTAAAAATCCCCAAGCAATCAACAGTGAATAAAAACTTCATTACTCTGCAAGGGAGAAAAAAAAAAAGTGATCAGAAAGATTTTTTAAAGAATTGAGAGAGACATAAAAACTTAAGTGTCTAGTTAATCTTGCATTCCCTGGAAATGTCCTTCACTGAGCACATACTGCATGAAACCCTCCAGAGAGGAAGAGCATAAAAACAAGACTGCAGCCCCAACAAAAGTGGCACCCAACACTGGGACTGGATAAGCATGATGAACCACAAGCTAGGAACAAAGAGAGTTTTCTTAATATTTGGAGGTTCCTCAGATCCATCTTACATAGGAGAAACTGTTTTGGAATTCTCTGTTTTAAAAACAAAACAAAACAAAACTCTAAAAATCCCCAAGCAATCAACAGTGAATAAAAACTTCATTACTCTGCAAGGGAGAAAAAAAAAAGTGATCAGAAAGATTTTTTAAAGAATTGAGAGAGACATAAAAACTTAAGTGTCTAGTTAATCTTGCATTCCCTGGAAATGTCCTTCGAGAAAGACACATAACCCCAGAATTAAGCCTTAAGAATCACCACTAAGTGCACAGGTTGTTGATATGCTAGACCTCCCCTCATACCGATAAATACATTCAGGCTGTACTAATCTGACATGCCATCATTTCCAGAGGTTAAAAATAAAGAAGTGGGCAGTGACACCACAAAGTCATTTTTTTTCTCCTCCCCAATAAGAAATTTAACAAATTTCTATTAAGAGCACCTAATACTTCCTCACAATAAAACATAATATAATATACATATACATACATATATGTGTGTGTGTGTATATATATATATATATACATGTATATATTTATATGCACATACTATCACACTGAGGAAAAAGAGAATATGTTGGTGAGTTTCAGAAAAATGTTTCATGCTTCATGCTAAAAAACACCAACTTGAGATTATACAAACCAATCTGAATTGATAAAATGATTTAATTTTGGTAATGCTGTCAATATTAACACTAAATTAGACATTCAAAAAGGTCATCTCTAAACAGAAATTTAAAATGAGTTAATATTTTCATACTGCTGAAAATGGTTTATCAAGAAAAAAGATTTTTAATGACAAAAATATTAAACTTGCCGTTTTTATTTACAACTTCACACTTAGTAATTTATAACTTAAAAGATGACATGAAAAAAAAAAAAGATGACATGAAAGGTAGAGAGTGGAAGGTGGGAGGAGGAAGAGGAGGAAAACGGCACCAGACCTCTGACTGAAGTCTAAAGAAGTTCGGTGCATAGCTGTTGAGTCAGGTCCTATATGATGCATGCATTTACTGCACTCAGAAAATATTTCTGAGAGGTACAGTCCCTGGCTTCATGGTGCTAATATTCTAACAAAGGAAACTATGGAGTTTTTTATTATTTTACTACAACTGTAATGCCTGGTAACTAGAATTAGAACCTAAGAGGAGAGCGATTATGGACCTGATTTACCTTAAATATTCAGGAAAGATTATTTCCTTCTGGGATTACTGAGTTGAGTTCTGAAGGATAAGTAGAAATGTACCAAGCAGGTTCCAGAGCTGGGAAAGCAGTGGAGCAGTGAGCCTTTTAAAGCATCAGTAGGGTCATGTCACCCCTCTGCTAAGAGCCTTCCATCTCACTCAGAGGGAAAACCTAAGTCTTAGTGCTTACTAGGCCTGCAAGGCCCTACCCAAATCTGCATCCCCTCTATCTCTGATCTCACTTGCACACCCTGAGGCACTATCAACACTTGGCCTTCTTGGGGTGGCGTTCTCACAATACGTATTTGCTGTTCCCTCAGCCTGGAAAACTTCCTTCAAATATGGTTCCTTCTATTACAGTACAGTAATTCAGTAATTAGAATCAGGAAGTAATCCAAATTCTCTGTGTAAACTGATTACGTGTTAAACTGAAAAGCTCTTTGAATTTTATTGTGGTTAAAAAATAACAGGCAACACATACTGAGTACTTACCATGTGCCGGATTCCATACTCAGTGTTTCACATGGGTTATCTTATTTAATCTTCACTACAATACTAGCAGGTAAACACTATTACTGTTTTCATTTTACTGATTAAGGAGAAAACTTCAAAAGGTTATATGACTTAAGTGGCAAACCAGGCAACTAGTTTCAGAATATCATATAATGATTTATACCACCGCACTGGACTGCCTCTTTGTGATTCTGATTATTTTCACTTTAAAACTGTTAAATATGTAGGATTTTAAAGGTAAAAGTTTTTCTATTTTGTAAGTTTTTATGCCCAGCATAGAAATTTTCTAACCATCTTAGAGAGAAAATTAATTTAGGATAGTACAATTACCTCATTTGTTCAAAAATATGTTAAAGAAAAAAGTGACAACTGACACATTGTGCTTTATAATTACACATAAAATAGTGATCTTTTTTTTTTTTTAAGGATATCACTGTATTTATTCTCATTCAGGAAATTTTTCTATAATTTCAACATTTTCCTCTCAAAACATAAGAACAAAAGAATCCCAAATCTTAGAACTGGATCACTTGGCCCTTTCTCTTCTTATCTCCTCGGGAGTTCAAAATGCTTGCACCTCTTAATGGCCAGCATCCTCTTGGATCTGCAGCTGGGCTCAACACATTCAAGTCTCAGCACGATCTTCTTTGTGGTTTCCACCTTCTTCCGGAAAATTGGCTTGGTTTGCCCACCACAGCCACTGTGCTTCCGATCACAGCGCCTCTTTCCCTGGGCATACAGGGAATCTTTGCCCTTCTTATACTGGGTCACTTTGTGCAGCTGATGCTTTCCACACTTCTTACAGAAAGTCCTTCGGGTTTTAGGGACATTGACCATCTTTGCAGTAGAGGTGTCTTCGAGGAGACCCGACGTCCACGTTCCTGCCTTGCTCTAGTGATGTCTTAAATGTGTGCCATAACAAGACCCACACAAGTATTTCACCAGTTATGATGAAGCTCAAAGCAATACTTAGACAAATACCTAAAGTACTGAAAGACTGGTCCATAGAGGATGAAGACAAGCAAAGACTGCAGAGAAAAAGAGTAGAGACAAATGCAACTTCATCTCTGAGTTTTTAGAAACCCATGTCCTACCGTTAAGTATCTATCAACATATAAAACAAAACTACTACCTCAAATGCTCCTACTGCCTTTGACCCTTCAGAATTACAATTAGAGAAACAATCTTTCTACTTCTAGTCAATATAGTTCATTTGTCAGTTGCTTAAAAAAATTAAAACATCTAAAATTAGATCATGGTGATTGAAAACTCTGCAAATATACTAAAACCACTGAACTGTATACTTAAAACAGATGACCTTAACAGTATGCAAATTATCTCATTAAAGCTATTTAAAAATCAGAATAAAATTAGAATCTACACAAGAAATGTTCAATAATTTATTATAAAATTAATTTTAAATGGAGAATATTAAATAGTTTATAGACAAAACTGAGCACAAAACAAGGCCACGCTCCCTTGAGCTCTACCACTTAAATTGCTCACCTTTTGCTTGTAACTTTTACAGCAAAGTTTCTTGAATTTAGTGTTACAACATATTCCTGAGATATTTTACAAGTAATTGGTTACTAAAGGATAAAGTACTAAAGTATAAGAAAGATAATACTTGTAGACAATATACATTTGGCGCTTGTTTTTTTTTTTTCATTTATTTTTATTAGTTGGAGGCTAATTACTTTACATCATTACAGTAATTTTTGTCATACATTGAAATGAATTAGCCATGGATTTACATGTATTCCCCATCCCGGTCCCCCCTCCCACCTCCCTCTCCACCCGATCCCTCTGGGTCTTCCCAGTGCACCAGGCCCGAGCACTTGTCTCATGCACCCAACCTGGGCTGGTGATCTGTTTCACCCTAGATAATATACAT